GTTGGTTGTGTATAAGGTACATTGCTGGGTGCCGGGAGGGATTCGTCGAGTTGGCTGCCATGGCCTGCTAAGGCTTTATGGAGGAAGTAGTGTTAACAGTTGGGCTCAACAAATCTCTTCACAAAATAAAAAAAGTCTCTTGGAGCCAGAAGGAAGTACTTGTTCATATTTTCCTCCTAAAATAAAATTTCCTTTCTGCCAAGTAGTTCACAAAATGAGAAAATGTACAAACTTGCATACAGTAATTTTCTAGTAACTTGAAATACCAGCTTTGGAGAGTCAGGTTTTTAAATTTTCTTTCCTTTCTTTCCTTCTTTTTTTTTTTTCTTTTTAAAGATTTTTTTATGAGAGAGAGAGAGAGAGGCAGAGACACAGGCAGAGAGTGAAGCAGGCTCCACTCAGGGAGCCCGATGTGGGACTTGACCTTGGGACTCCAGGATCATTCCCTGGGCCGAAGGCAGGGAGCCACTCAGGTGTCCCAGGTTTTTAAATTTTTAAGGTAATCTCTGCACCCACCGTGTGTCTTGACATCACAACCCCAAGATCAAGAGTCCCATGCTTTACCAATGAGCCAGCCAGGTGCCCCAGAAGAAGCTTTTTTTTTTTTTTTTTTAAAGAAACTTCCCAAAGCAATATTTCCCATAGAATATTTAAAATATGGACTGAAAGTGATTTCAATCTAATAGTTTCCACTTAATTTGTGCATCAGACCTTAAAACATCTGAATTGAGACTTTATGCCCAGAAATCTTTTAAATTCAGATTACTTGGGGCTGTAAATTTATTACGCTTTTAATAAGTCATACTCAAATTGGACGTCTTTTTGCCAATGACAAGCCTAACCATAAAGAGCAGTAGAATTAGGGGCATGGTTTGTAGAATGGCTTTGAATAAAGAAGAATGAATGGCTGAGCCTCATGCCTTGGGGGATAAATTATAGCCCAGTGTTACCATACTAGCAGTGGAAATAGGGCAGTAACGTCATACAGTTGCTTTCTGGTTGCTTGATCTGTAGTCACTCTTCTCTTCCCGAGCTTTTCTGAACAAATCATCTGAATCCTAGAGAAGTTCAGTGACTGGTTTCCAGTCACAACATGACGACCAGGGCTGAGATTAGTCCCTTGATTCCTGGGCTTTTTCTATTGTAGGAAAAAAAAAAAAGTGAGGTTGGGGAGTGGGGAGAGAGACCTACTGGAATTTCAAGTATTCATCAAGAGTTGTTTTTTCCCAGCCTCGTGGGAGCTCTAAATAAAAGAATGTTGAGATATGGCTCTTGCTTTCAGGAAGCTTCTATAACGCAGTTTTCCATGAATTTCCAGCCAACAGCCAGTGCCCCATCTAGCAGGCCTCTTTGTTTCTTTCTGTGGTCTCTATTCTGCTTTGTTTTCTTGATTTGTTCTATTCTATATAATTTATCTTGAAAGGTGCTTCAGACCCCACACTGCCGCTACACATTTCCTTTCTTTTAATAAGCATTAAAGGTTGCCAAATACAGGAAAGTAAGCTCTAAAGGTAGCCATACAGAAGACTTGGCTATTATTTAGATGAGTCAAATCTTGGTATGTTAGAAAAATCTTTCCAAGCCCTTAAAGTTGAGGATGTTTTTGATGTCTCCCTTTTCTGGGGAAAAAGTTCTTAATTATATACAACTTGGTTTTCAGTGTTTCACTTGTAAATATCGCTGTTCTGGTTTGCTTGATGTTGCTAAAAGTAGGTAGGCACCTTTCGAAACAGCTTTGCTTTGAGGTCAGATGAACTGTTTTATGGGAGAAGCTCCTTCCAACGGAGCGTGCACACATTCAGGATAACTGGATAATAAGATTTTGTGATCATGAGATTTTAATTAATTAAGGTGTGGACATGAAAGGGTATTATGAAATGCAGCATTTTCCTCCCCAGTCTCTCATTGCCTGATGTCACATGGATTTAACTGTGTTTTTTGGCATTCCTTGCAAATGAAAATATATAGGAATGTTCCTTGTAACTTATAAACTGCTATAAATGTTGGCTAATTGCTTGATTTGGAGGAAGTCGCTCATCTGTGTTCATTGCAGCCTGGTTAAATCTGTCAACAAATACTGAGGACAGAGTGGGTGCGAAGCCTGCGTTTTGGCTTCTGTTTGTATTAAAAAGTAAACATAGTCCCTGCCCTCAGCTCACAGATTTGACTTGAAACTGTATAAACAGGCAGTATGACACTCCAGAAGAGGAAAATTTTAATACTACTGGTGTTCTGTGATTTCAGACAAGGTGGTCATGGTTACGATGCTGCTATTGTGATTACAAGCCAAAATAGCTTCTGTCTTGCTTCGAAATCCTTTCTGTTTTACCTAGGATAATCTTTGTTATATCTTATCACTGTGCAGAATTCTTTTTTTTTTTTTTTTTTTACTGTGCAGAATTCTAACACAAAACATGGAGATACTGGGCCTATTCTCAAAGACTCCGTGTACTAAATGAGAAATCCAAATGGTGAAAGGAAACTTGACAGTTTTTGTTACTTCGGGGTGTTTTTAAAGGAAGAACCTATGGTATTTGGGAGACTTAGAATGTTGAATAACAGTAGAAAAATAAGAAAATCTAGGTGCCTTCAGGTCATGGGTCTGAGGTCAATGTTATATACTCACATTTTATTTTCTTTAAATGAAAATTCTGGGAAGTTTTCTCCCACTAGAGAATTTCAGAGGCTGGTCTTTCCTCTCTTCCTGAAAAAGTATATAAATTAAAGAAATGGCAGCTGAAGTTCCTTTTGTACTCAGGTATACTCATTTGAAGTTTCTCTAGGTCACAGTTTGAATAGGTCTTAGAATATAAATTTAAGCTTTTCCCCTTGACTTGCTATTTATGGAGGAAAGCAGAAACTGGAAAGAAAAAATTACAGTGGCCATCTGATCGCCTTTTCAGTTAACTCAGGACCACCGATGTGGAAGATGTGACAATCCTGAGAGCAGCTGGGCTCCCCGGAGTGGGCAGTCCGGGTGTCTGGCACGTGATGCCGAAGGCAGTGTCTTCCGGTCCTTCTGTGGGACGTGTCTCCCCAGTGGCACAGCAGATCTGCCGCAGGTTGGGGACGACCAGGGTGATGATGGGGTCACCCTGGGTGCTGCGGTGGAGCTTGAGCTCCGTGATCAAGGCCTGTGCAGGGCTCCCGGAGAGCTCACTCAGGGACCTCGGCCAAGCTCTGCAGGCTGGTGCGTTTTACTTTTCTTTGTTTTATTTTTAAAGCATGTAGTCTTTGTAAAATGACAAACCCTGAAGGTTGATTGATTTACTTGGAAAAGAAAATATCTGTGCTTAGCAGGCCTCTATCCCTGAATTTTGTCCACCATCTCTCCTACAATATTTCAGCATGATCACGGAGAGAAATTTGTGTTTCCATGCTTGCCCTTCAGGTGAAACTCCAGTCTTTGCACCAGGGTTCCCTGAAGTAGCAGTTTAAAAAAGAATTATGCTGTAAACCCTGCCCCTTTTGTGTGTAGAGACTTGTTTGTCAGGTGATTTAACCCTGTCGCACTTTACCATCACCTTCTCCAAATTCTGCTTAAAGATGCTGTCTTCCTGGTTATCTCCAGGGTGGATTGGTTGGTTGCTGATTTTTGTCTGTTCCTTTGTTTGATTGCCGTTGCCCAAAGCTTTCATCTTCTGAGTGGGGAGGCGGAGCGTGGAAGGAGGGGGACCCTTGCTGGGAGCCTGCGGGTTGGGGTTCTGGCGCGGCTGTTCATTCGCTGTGTGACCCCTGGGCAGTCAGTCTTCCAGGGTCTCTGTTTCTTCGTCAGGGAAACAGAGGACTTGGAAAAGTAAATACAGGCCTGGACCAAATGAGAAGAAGGTCACCGTGTGTGCTTATGTTGTGCGACTGAATGGCAGCGCTCGGGGCCTCTTGCCTCGGTCTGTGCTCCCCGCGGAGGCCCTGCTCCACTCTGGCCCCAGCAGCCGGTGCCGCGTATACACGGACACTGGTTCCAGCATTCGGGCTCCCTGGGCAGGTGGGACTGGGCGTCTTCTCCACTGGAGTTTCTCCCTTTTGGCCCCGCTCTGCTGCTTCTTTCTTCCAGGAGCAACCTGCTTGCCTTCCACCTTCTTGTCCTTGGTGCACTTAGCAGGGGTGTGATGGGTAACACAACCCACTCGGATTTGTTACTGCTGGGTGTTGTCCAGCCATCTCCTCTGAGTTACTGGAGGAAAAAGAGAGCTGCAGGAGACTCAGTGATGAAATAATGGTCCTTTTGTCTGTCTCTTGCTCTAGGGATGGTTTTAGGTTTCATTTTAGGCCTGGGCCATTGTGTTGTTTTTACATGCTCAGTACAACCCTGTTTAAAAATGCAGCTTATCATTTAAAGGATTCAGCTGTAGTGCCACAGACCGTTCTTTCGTCCCCATCCCCCCCAGAAGTCCTCGCTGTATGTAGTAAAAACCCACTGCAGTGTGTGCTGTTTGATTGGGTCCCGTACATCAGCTTAAAATGTTTCCCTTGTATTTATTTTGCAAATGCTTATAAGGTATGTTTTAATCTGATAAACTTCCAAAATGTTTTCCTTGTGGTTATATAATCAGTAGCATCTGCAAAACATGCCTTTAACCATGTAGCTTTCTTCTTAACCATTATCTTGTTGATTCTCTGTTCTAATGTTTTCTTTTGATGAACTGGGGTTAGGAGATCTGAATTCCTGTGCCAGACATCTTACAGTAACGTGCCCAGATTTAGCCTCATAACCTTAATTAGATGTGGAATGCTGAGAATGCTGTTTTTTTTAAACTTTTATAACAAGCCAGTGAACTTCTGATCACTTCATTAAAAGTTATAAAACACTCCTTGTGTCTTTAACATTTAGTTCCCCATCTTAGTTTCTTCATAGAAAATTAACGTAAAACTTAAGGTATCTTTAGATACTCCTGAACAATTTGTTAGAGCCTAAGTTACCTTTTGTGTCAGTATGTACATAATATTCCAACTCACAACCCTTAATTCCTCTTCCCTCCCCTCCTTTTTTTTTTTTTTAGGAGCAAAAGAGTGTTGAAAATGTTAAAAGCTGTGCTGAAGAAGAGCCGAGAGGGAGGAAAGGGGAGCAGGAAGGAAACAGGTATGTACAAGCAGGTGGCCGTGGGGCAGCAGCTCCTGCTCACTCTAGGCTGGGAGGATGCTATTGCATTGGGAATGGGTCCAAAGAGTGTTCTGGGTTACAACAACACACATCACACTGGAAGCTATGAGAAACGAAATAGATTTCTGAGCTTTCTTATGGGAAGTGACTTTGAAAATTGAGTTTGCCTTATGAACCAAATCCTTCCCCAGAAGACTTGTAAAGTTCATAATTTTAACAGAACATTCAGATCCAGAGGCAGTCAGAGTTACAGACCTGGAGGGATAGCAGGTGTGTCCAGGAATTTGGTTTCTAGAAAGCTCTTTCCCTTTTCCCACATGCAATTGCATTTTATATGTTTGACCAACTGCTGGCTGACTGGTCCTCGCCTTTTGAGTATCAGATTTTTCCACCTAACAGGTGTAGCCTCACTCAGTGTCAGACTGCTAGTTTTCATTATGATGAGAGCTACTTAATTTGGCTTGGATTTCATTCCTGTTTATAGAATTCTCTTCTGGTGCTTATGTGGTCATTGTGATTCTTCATTGCCTTCCATGTGATAAACTCTTCTAAGGTTATTTAGGTGACCACTTAGTGGTCTGTTTTTCTACAAAAATTACATATTTATTGTACAATAAAAATCTGTTAGTCTGGATTGATTTTCTTGGAATGTACTATTTTACTCTGCAAACTTAACGATAATCCACAGTGGAGAGTGGTTGCTTTTCTGAATTATTGTATATTGAATAACATTTCAGTTTTAATTTCTATTACAGTATAAATACACTTATTACCATAACATCGCTGAATTTTACAGTTAACTTTTCAATTGAAAAGATCTTGCAGTATCTTTTATTACATATTATGTAATATATGTATATAATTACATAATGTTTGTAATGTTATGACAGTGTTCATGTCTGTTGTTTCTGTACATATGTAATAGAATAAGTGGGCTTAAACTTTTTAGTTATATGGAACTTAAGTAAATTTGCTGTTATCCCATAAACCAAAAGTCTGCAAAACAGCAAACTTCCTTTAAAAGGAGAATCTTTATTGTAAAGTTACTATTAAAATTCCACTAGAAGCTTCTCGTTAATGCCTGCATAAGCGGATACAAAGAAAAAAAATTCAGTTTTTAATGATAGAAACGAGACCATAGTCAGCTTTTAACCTAACAAACCACCCCCCTACCTTGAATAATTACTTAGAATTGTTACTATGGAGAATTTTCAGTTCACATAATTTCTATCCAGGAGGACATTCACCCTCTGCTGGGTCAAGGCCAAAATATCTTTCTCTTTATTTCTCTGAAAGTAGTTTAAAAAAAATTTCCCCCCAGTTTTGGCTCATCTGATATTCATCCTAGGGACTTCATTATTTGCTTCTTTAGATGCCTTTGTAATTTCCAGCATAAAGTTAGGTCCTAAGCTGTCTGGCTGGGGATGCCCAACCAGTGGCCCGGGTCTCCAAGCCAAAACTCCCTGTTTAGTCATGGGAGTCTTTCACAACAGACCCACCATCCTCTTTGACCAGTGCCAGTGAAATAACAGTACAGTAATGATTTGGGGCACCCTGCCTTTCAGAACGGCCAGACAGTGAACATAGTTTGCATTTGTAACTTTTCCAGTTTTAAAACATGTGAGTTTTGGGTTTATTTCCCCCTCTGGTCTTTAAGAGCAACTACTGTTTTTTTTTTTCTGAATCATTTCTTCATAATAATTCCCACACTATGGCTTTTCACTAATGCAAACCAACTTGAAAAAGCAATGGGACTATTTCTCATAAAACATCTGTACGGTATGTGCCTTTTTTCTGTTAACTAGAACCTGGTTGTGTTAGTTGGAACAAAGCAGATGGAATCTTAAATCTTGATGAAGTTATGTCACAAGATGATTGGGGAAAATACTTGGAATTTGACCATTCATATGTTGAGCTCTGTGCCAGCTCTCATTATATAAGTAGATCATAGCTAAGTTTCTCTGTAAATTAAAACTGACTGATCTATGGAGACTGCCCTGAAACTTTAGTAATAATATCTCCTGCAGTATGGAAAAATCTTGCTCTACTGTTTGCAATTAAAACCAATCTTTGTTGCAAAGACAAAGGAAAATTCATTTCTATGTACTTGAACTCACAATTACAGAAATTTAGGAAATATTTAGGTCTAAAATACTGAGCTCAGCATTTTATATATCCTTTGTAGATTGTTTTTACAAACTACACTTTTTTTTTTAATTGAATCGGCTTTGAGAATTTAGAAAGCATAATCACGGAGTTAAATTCAGTATTCTTTAAAAGAATACAGATATTTTTCAGAAATATTGAAAAGTTGTTACATTTTCAGTTCTTATCCCTAAAAGAAAATGTCACCTATATGTACTTTAAATCACTGATAAGATTTTTAGTAGGTATTGAAATTTAAGTTACATGTATATTAAAAGTATTTGAAATATGTACAGTATTAAACTACTGAGCATTGAGTGAACTCTAAATAATAGAAAAACTTTTTAAAAAAAAAAAAAAAGACCCAGGAAATGCTTATAGCTAAACAAAAGTGTTTTCTGGAGGCTGTAGAATTGTGTCGGAGAATACAATATTAAAAACTTAATGTTTTGGGGAAAGTACATTTGCCTTGTCCCCACTATTCCATCAGTGCAAATGAGCACGGTGTTTCTCTTGACCTTGAGTTAGGCCTGAGGGAGTAAAAATCAATATTAAACCACAATGTGGGGAGAGCTAGGTAAGGGCATATGTATATATATTTTCCTTTCCTTCGTCTTATGTTAGGACTCTGATCTAAGGCAAATGTTTATTTTGAAGCTCTCCAGAGAGAAGAGACCACTTCTTTTTATTTTAAGTGACCTTTCCTATCAAAAAACTCTCCTGTTACTATTCTTTTTTTTTTCATGTTACTATTCTTAAACCTACTTAGTTTAAAGATGAAATAATCACTATACTATGAGTATATTGAGAATGTTCTGATACAAATCTGGACCAAATAGAGTTGATATAAAGAGCAATGTAGAGAATGAATATCTTTTCTAAATAGTGCAATAACACTATTTAGATAATGCATGGGAAAAAGTCCCATTTTATAATAGAAACAAAAACTTTAGAATTTAACCTACGAAGAAATTTGCAAGCCTTACATTGAGGAAAAGAATGAAACTGCTGAATCTCTTAAAGGAAGACCTGAATAAATGGAAAGAAATACATTGTTCCCAGATGGACAGACGCAGTATCTTAACCTGACCATCTCTTATAGAATAACCTATAGATTCCATTTAATCCCTGATGAAACCCCAACCATTTTATTTTTAAAGACATTGTTCTTTCAGAGCAGTTTTAGGTTCACAGCAAAACTGAGCAGAAGGTACAGAGATTTCCTGTGTATCCTCTGTCCCTACTCATTCATAGCCTTCCCCGTGATCAACACCCCCTACCAGAGCAGTACGTTGGTTACAGCTGATGAACCTACACTTGACACATCATGATCATCCAGATCCCATAGTTTACATTAGGGTTCAATCTTGGTGTGGTGCATTCTACGGGTTTGGGCAAATGTGTAATGATCTGTATCTGTTATTGTTACAGTATCATACAGAATATTTTCACTGCTCAGAAAAGCCTTTTTTTAAAAAAAAAAAGCAACACAACATAACCAGTTGATTTAAAAACTCATCTGGAAGAGAAAATGCTTAAGAATAGCTGAGGAAGAATGGAAAGTGTGGGTCAAGTGTGTATCCAAATGGCTGAGCCTGGTTCCCATGCCTGGCTTCTAGCTGCAGGAGAGGCTAGACAAACGTGTATTTTGACTTCTTAGCTTCTGTAGGGTAAAGTGGGCTTCACCTCCCACTTCTGTCATCAACACTGGTAGGTCCCTTCTACTTTAAAGGCCAAGCACAAATATTTCATATAGAATAACCACTGCTTCACATAGTAAATGTTTTGGCTAGTTTTTTGGACTTTTTTTTCCCTATTGTTCTCCAAGAAATGAATCTTAATTCTATTTGATATAATTGTAGCTCACAGTTGATAACCGTTTTGGTTTTTTTGGTCTCTCTCTGTCTCTATGCATCCCTTCTCCTGCCCTCTGCCAATCTTGAAACCTTAGCCTTTTACCCTATCCAGCTTTTCTAGTTGCTCTGTTTTGGTGTGGAAGTAGCTCCAAGTTGAGGCAGAAGAACAAAGTTTGGTGAACTTGTAATTGTGGTACTGCCTCAATTAAAAGACTAATGAAGGAAGGGTTGGTTAATATGCCAAAATAATTGTTTATTAGTCTTTTCCTTTCAGTTTAATTATTTGTGTTCTTTTTTTCAGTAGGGGGGCTTAGTTTGAAGCAATTTATTAAAAAAAAAAAATTGACCCTCACCTTTTCATCGTTAAAACGCAGCTGGTCGTCTAAGTGCACTTATAATGGTGTTAATTAAGACATTGGATAGTCTCTAAACTTGAGTGTGTACTGAATTAATCTGTTAGCTTTGCATCTAATCCTTCACTTTGAATTTGTAGTAAAAGGAAGCTGTTTGCCTCTAAAGTTTAAAAGCCATTGATGTGATTGTTAAATGTGGTATTTTAAGCCATTCCAGGCTGCAGTCTGGTTTTCAGTGGTACCTTCTAAAAATGCCTCAATACAAACGATGCTTTGTTTTATCCGGAAAATATGAAGCTGCTTTTGATTATTCTGTGCTGCATTGCCCATTTTCTGTGGTTGTGGACTATTATTTAGGAATTTAGTGCAGTGACTGTCTTGCTGAGCTATGGATATTTGGTATCTTGTTGTTAACAGACTCCAAAAATGTTTCCCAAGCAACAAAACAGGCAGGAATAATTCAGTCTAAAGGTACTGTATTTCTCTTTACCAGGGTACTTAAGCAAATTCTGTAAAGTATTGGGACATGATATAAACACGGGCTAGAGGCCAAGCTGGTTTTTGGTAGAATCAGGAATGCAGTTCCCTCTGGTTTGATTGGTTCCTTTACCAGTTTCTCTTTGTT